TTCCGTATAGGGAATCTCCGTAAGAAACAATCGCATCCCAGCCTAGACAAGATGGCGATGCCGCATGTAGGCGCGTGTGTCGCCAATGTGTTCCGCCATCGATACACCAGCCATTGCGTACGCTGCACCCATGATTCCGTCAACCTGCCACCCAGACCGGCCGCTACAATCACCAACAGCTGTTTTAATCTCGTGCCCATACTAAATCAGTGCTAATTAAAAAAAAATAAGCGTAAAATTTCTTCCAATTGTTACATAACAACTTTAGGTTGTCGCACTCAGACATTAACGCCTAGTTCGCACTAGGCTAGTAATTTAGTCGAATGTCGAGTAATTTTGTAGCTAAAATACTTTCGTCTATAAGATTTGCTAATCATATGTTTATTGTTCAGATACGGTTACTTACAAAATTACTCAGTACTCAACTAAATTGTTAAATGAGAGAGTGTGACTATCAAACAATTCTGAGTGCGGCAGATTTCAAACCCTCCTGTAATGGAAACGTAACAACATAATTCATTAGACTATGGCTAACCTACAGCTGGAGTCGATTCAACCGTCATCAGACAATTTTGTTTACAAATTACTTGTCAAATAATATGAAGGTTCATATCACACACGCCATTTAAAAGCAATTCATAGTTTTGTGAAATAAAAATATTGGCAATTATAAAAAATGCATCAGTTTTATTTCATGCAAAAGTTAGTCGTGATTTTCATAAAAACAGTTGCGACAATAAAACTTTTGACAAGCTATGCATATGGTAATGATCTTTTTTGTTTTGTTTCCCGCTTCACGGCGGCTCATAGTGTTTCGATGCTTCTGGTAACAACCCGAGCATTTCCCTTTCTTCGTGTTTTTTGTTAGTCGATGCTTGCATGTCTTTTCAAGTACTAAAAATGTAAATTTAAACATAAAAATTTTTAATACATGTTATATAGAATATCCTGACAATTTCAATATTGATAATTTAATAATTATGTTACACTATAATTTTCAATACTCTATGCGATCTGTTAAATTAAATTCTCACTAGTTAGAGTACTATGCTATTGTTAGGAAACGCGGGGGGTTCTTTTAATCCCACGCACTACAAGAAATTAATTAATATCTATCTATTGTGAAGGGGCTTAGAAGCCCATAGTTAGAGAATTAAGTCTATACAAAAAATAATATGTCTTGTAGAAACAAAGAATACTTCGATCGCTAAAAAAGCTTACGTTTTTCTTAAACGCACCGCTGCTAACTCGGCGCAAGTTTATAACGCGTAAACGTAAAATCTATTTATATTTGTTTCAAAGCTATGAGGATGTATTGACGCGGAAGCTGAATGTTATATTTAGGCTCGCAGTGGTGTGGGGTGTAGGGGGTCCGTGGGCGTGGGATGCTGGGCTATCGATTGCCCCATCACCAAGCGAGGGGGCGCACGTCACGCGGCGCGACGGCAGCCGCGCTCACGTGGTGCCGCGTGCTTCCGCCATACTTATTTTCATAACTTCCAACATTTCACAAGCTTTATTAATTAATGTGATTTAAAAAGTTTTTCAAACCAACGTGACTATTAAAGGTCATGGTTATATCAAACTCTCAAACTACAAGATTTATTAATTTACTTTGTAATGTAAGAAATTAAATGCATACATAGATAGACTAGCCAGCTGCTTTAGTCATTCAATAGATTTTTGATAAAACTCGTACTGAAATTGGTCTCAAATTTTAAAATATCTCCATTCGTCAAGAGCGTTACAGCCGCAACTATAAATTGATGACGCACAATAACAATGAAAAATGGCGTAACGTCTCCCCTAAAACGTGAATTATAGAGATGACGCACACATACACAAACCGGTCCCCGCGCACGCACACACGTTAGCAATAAGAAAAGGAGCTCCGTCAAAATTAGGGCATACGAGGCGTAACTAGGCTGTAGCTCGGGAGACAGGCACGCCCATATCCCCGTGCCCCAAGTTTCTTCTTTCATAACTTCGTAGGCTGTATTGATCCATCAAAACTGCGCGATTCATTGCTTCACGAATACAAGTTATATTGCAACGGAATACCGTATACCTAATCGTAAACGACCTCTTTATAATGTATCATGCGACATTCTCTATGAATAGCTTTCATTATGCCGATTTGAAATTAGGGAATTATTATTACGGAAATGTTTGGTTTGAGTTGATTTTTGTTTAATGAAGTATTGATCTCTAATATTATAAAGAGGTAAGATTTGATTTCTGTTTGCATTGAACAGGCTTCAATACTAAACCGATTTCAAGAAATTAACGCTTTTAGAATAATAAATTATCGCTGACATAACAGAAAAGATATGAGACATATTCTTTGCCACCGCAAAGCTGGGGCGGATTGATAATTTAATTAAAAAAATGTATTTTCCACTAACACTTTTACGATTATTTTGATAGATATAGAAGTAAAATGACAGTATAATGGTACTTATATTTTATATGAAAATGACCTTGTCATTGGCATGACACCTTACAAAACTAAAAACTGCAGATCGTACTTGCAAGACTTTACTTCAATCTCTTGTTTAAAAGTTTAATTTTTAGCAATGAACAGATATTTTAAATACGTTCAAATTCCATTGTTAATGTACGCGTTATAACTGTATTTAAAAATGCATTAAAGTCCAATATACTAAAGAAAGAAATTCGGTATTTGTATGTACAATAAATATGAAATTCAAACACGCAACAATACCAGGTAATCGAGATACAAGTAACTTTACTTCGCGTTCATAAATAGGTCACGACCTGAAAGCGAAACTAACAGGGAAGTATCGTAAACATATTGTCTTATTAAATTAAATACAAAAACATGAATGGCATAATATCTTTAATAATATAGCTAATTAATACAGTACTATTATAAACATAACGTAGGGTCATACACGGACCACAAACAGCTGGTCAAAGGCCGACTAAAGTCCGGGTGTGGCAGTGTTTATTGCTTTCTAAAATAATTTAAACGTGTATGTTAGAAGATTATGCTTTCACTTGTATCAATTTGATATTTAAATGCTACCTGTCGACATTACGGTTATTTTAATAAATATTTAACTACCAAGTAACATTCTTTAAACAGTACTCGATAACACAGTTAACATTAAATAAAAACAAGTGTATATATAAAATAAAGTTTATCTGTCTGTCTTTAATCGATGAATATTTTAAACATTCCATGTTACTGTTCTATGTAAAAAAGTAAACTAAATATATACCAATTTTAAATGTTTATCTATATTTCTTTACTAACATTATAAAGAGGAAAGATATCTATTTTTGTATATAACAAAAAAATATTTTTCTATCGTAAAGCAACATTATCTCAAAGTAACACTTTATCAGTACAACAAAACATAAGTACCTACTGTTGTTCGCGACTTCGAGCGCGGGAATTTAAAAAAATACATATCTTTACTCTTTACAATATCAGTATAAATTGTTATAAAATATTCAAAATATAATATCCACCTATTGTAAGCGGGGATCGACCGTTAGTTTCATATAATTTTATATTGCTATCCTCAAGAAGACTACGTCATTCAAAATACCAGCTATGGTCTTGGAAATACCGTATTATTGTTAAACGCTGAACTACAAATAAGCAAGCAATAATTTCGTAACAATAATTTCGTAACGTACACGCTTTATTACCGCAACCCATTATCGAAAAGTACAAAATAATGGCATCCCGCTCACCCCCATTGAAAAAACAGAGATAACCATATCTTTGGTTCGGTTATTTCGGCAGAGGATGATCGCGGTTTGCTTTATAAAGACAACATTTTCAAACTCATTTATTTCTTTAATAAGTTTATCGTCAAGGAAACGATTCAAAAAATAGAAATTATTTTTATTCCAATTAAATTCATACACGGTCGAATACTGACACACGACTACAATATCCCGATTTATTAATAGTAATAAAACCACAATAAATATAATTTATCGTGTTAAGGCAATCTACAGGATTTCTAAGTAGCACAAGTATATTTTTGCTAAAGTTCATTAACATTTTCATTAAGTACCAATTTTAAGTACCATAAGTTCAATATTCGACCGTTGAAAACATAATATTCATCAAATTAACTACATTTTAAAATATTCGCAAATTGCTTAAAAACAAATTTAAACGTCATTAACTCAAATAATGCTTTTTCTAAGAATTTTAACAATCTAATAAAATTAATGCTTTTTCTAAGATATAACATTAACATACCATTGTCAATGCGAAAACGAAAGGGAATCTGAGACTTTTACTTTTTGTACTTTATTAGTAGATATATCGTTGAAACAAACATCCAAAAAATTGCATTTAAAAAAAATAAAAAAAACATGATTTAAAAGCATATTCAAAAGAAAAAGGTATAAAAAAAGGAAAAAAAACATAAAATAATGATTTTAAATTAGCAATATAAAGTGGAATTGATTAAAAAAAATGATTGAATTAAGAAAAAGTAATAAAAAAAAATATCTCATTTCCCATCGCACTCGAGAAAAGAACAAAAAAACTGGGCGATTAATAAAAAAATATCGCGCTATCTATACCTATGATAGGCATCTTTTCTCCTAACATACTTGCCATCAGGAGTAAAGTAGTAACTAGGAGGTCCGTGGATATGACGTCCTCGCACCAAGAAGAGAATATCTCCCTCCCCTGTGTTCGAAGGCGCAGTGATGACGTCAGCTCTGCAGCCTGCCATGTCTCTAGAAGAGCAGTACCACTGCTTACGGCCGTGGGCTTGCAGATTCTTCAAGTAGAATGTATACCCGTCGTGTAGCAGAAGCGACTTGCCAGTCCTCGACGGCACGTATATCGCCGGCGCCGCGTCTAAACCGCATTTTATAATATCATTCAAACCATCGTCATCAAAACTATCATTAACCTCTACATAATGATAACAACAAGATTTATATATTAATTTATTAATGGCTAATATCAATAATTTAATTATTAAAAACTAATATTGCATTTTATGATTACATGGCTCAGACTCTAAAATAAATAAATCTATAAATAATACATAGGAACTTTACAAACGAAGGTGACGATTTTGACAAAAATCAAACATCACTAGTTTGACAAGGAAAAGACATAAAGAGGTACGTATAAAAGGGGTAAATAAGTTACTAGCTTGAGTCTCAAGTAATGGAAAATAATATCTAAACACTCGTGCCTGTGATACACAGACAGAAGACGGATTCTGCTGAAAATCAATTTAACATAACTTTCTGATAATCATATAATATTAAAATTAGTGTTTGCATTGCGTTGAGCAAGCCTTTCCCCGTAAAAACGAAACATCTCATGTAGATCGAGGGTGGACAAGTATGAGGGTTCAGGGCGTGGCATGCTCTGGCACTCACGCCCCTGCGAAGGTCAGCGAACGTGATTGTGTAACCCCATTACAGCTACAACCTCGCGGTTGATGGTCCGTAGTCTTGCCGGACATTGGTATCTGTTCCTAGCAGCACAATACCACAGCACCTTTGGTTGGTTCCTATAAGCGTTGTGGGGTCTATAGAAGTAACCATTCAGACTCAATTTCGGATACCCCTTGTTGTTATAAACCACTTGCACTGCAACATTACAATACAATTAGATTAGTCCGTACAATAAAGTTGTAAAACATATTATTTAAATAAAACGAAATTGTTAAAAAGTAATTTTATTTTAATTTTAATCAGAAAAAAGTGTATGATAAAACATTTTCTAAAAGACGATTAACGAGTATTTTATAGCACATTAAAACTATCACAGTTTGGTGGGAAATAATTGTACTTTAAAATGTCCATAAAAATCCTCTTAGTTCGTATCTTGATCTCTTTAATGTCACCAATTTATTCGCATCAAACGCTATGATTGATTAGATTCTTACAGCGATGTCTTAAATCTGAGAAGACGAGTCGTTTTCCAACTGTGTGTATCCTTGCTCCACAACCGCGGGCACATTTCCATCGTCTCTTGCCTCTATAGCAGCCGTCCAGACGGTACCAGTGCCCACCCATCTTCAGCAAAGGACCATTCTTTTCCTCTGCCAACGGACACGATAAGTCCTCCGAGAAAAAAGCTGTTCAAACGATAAAATTGTATGAATACCAACTAATTCCTTACACATTATTGATTTAAAATGTGTAAGAATGTAGTTAAATGTGGAAAATGTTAATAAAAATACAAATGTGTTTACACAATATTTTATAAGATAAAAATATTTGGTACAGTCCCATAGTTTAAAGCGATGCTGTGACATCTATAAAAATATATGATTAAACAAAAAATAACTAGCAAGTATAACAATAAATTAATTAGTAAATAACAATGTAAAAACAATACTTACAAAGTAAAAAAAGACTTCAATTGCATTACGTCTTAAAACGAATACGAAGGTTGAGTAAAAGTCTTATTATAAGGTAACTAATCCAATAATCTAATGCGCGAAACCTTCACTATTTGTTTATCTGTGGTTATCACGTAAACTATTTAGATATACAAGTGTAAGTCTATAACAAAACTAACGCTTTATTTATTTACTTCAGAAGCTTGTATACTTATGCCCCCATTCACAATAAAAGCGAAAAAAACTTAGGCAGACTCACAATTTATTGATAAACGGCAGAAATCAATGTTCGATCTTTGAGATTGCTTTTAAAAATCATTTTAATTACATGTATGAAACATATTGAATGGATCATATTTTTCGGCTGAAATCTGTGGATTAGATTGATCCATAGAATAGTATGAAAATATCGCTGATAAGCAAAATCGATTCAAGATCGAATATTGATTCTATCCGTAAGTTGCATTTTCAATGTAAATGGGGTTAACTATGCTACAACTATAACTAAATATGAGTTACTATATCATAGTATTTTATACATCAGCTATCAGTCGTGCCGCAAACTACTACGCGGCCAATTTAGAATTTTATAAAAAAGCATCAACAAGACGGCTAAACTATCATTTAAAGCTAGATATTTTGTATAAATAACATCTAAACATTTTCGTAAGAGAATATTGCACGTCCGAATTAGTCATAACCATATTTTTACTAATAGTATATCATAGCCGCTAAAGGCATTTGGTATAAGGCGACTTTTACACACTCCTAAACGGTCTCATAAGAGGTTATTAATCTTTTGGCCGTAAGAGCCTCTCTAAATAAATTTTAACAGGACGAACCTTAACCTAGTATGTACTAAATGCTGTTAAAATAAAAATCATAAACGTGATAAAAAAAGAAAACTTAACAAAAAAAAATATCCAAAACGCGGCTATTTATAAAGTAAATGTAACAAAACGATTACATTGCACATTCTTTGGCATACTACGAGTTATTGAGTATATATTAAATGCATAATTATACGCGAATAAATGAAATACACGTAATTTATAACATATATACGTTTCTAATAGCAACATCAAAGCTACTTTAAAGTCTTTCCACAAACCGCATTTAATTGTGGCACGGGTTTAAACGCGGTGATATAAATGCGACACCCCTTGTGGTTAGTGTGGTCCGTCAAGAAGGCCTTGCACAAGGAGGTCGCGCCAGGCCTACAGAAGGAGAGCAGCATGAGGAGGGGGCGGAGGGGGGGCCGCCATCGCGAACATCCTCGGTGCCGTCACCATGATCTTATACTTGCCCCTGGGGTCCACTTCGAAGCGACGAGACTCATGCTTAGCAGGGTTATACGTTT